AGATTCAAATCTGAGCTCTGCCTCTTACTACTGGCTGACACTCCGAGCCTCTAATTCCCCATCTGTAATCACAAAATAACGCTTGCCTCCTAAGATTTTTGTGAAGGTAAAACGAGATAGTGCATAGAAAGTGCTTCGCACAGTGCCCGCACATAGTAAGGTCCCAATAAATGGAAGCTGCTTTTTACTACGTGCATTCCAACAGGACGGCCTGGAGAAGAGGGCTCACTCCATGGACCTCTTATCATTGCTTCTGCCCCTACCTTTTGTAACTCTCCCTCGCCCCATCTGTCCCTACCCTTGGTCAAGCCATTCACAGCTCCAACGCTCCCGTTCCTCACTCTGAGTAATGACAGAAGAGTAATTGAAAAATAAATTATGCCCTACAGCGCCGTCTAGAGGCCACAACGGGCTCTGCCGGCAGCTTCAGGCATCCCTGCTGTCAAAGGTGAACGACAGCCACAGGGAGGGCCAGGTGTGTTCAATACGTATTGCCTGGAGGATTTGACCAGATTATTCTCCAGTGCCCCATTAGACTGCTCTAAGAAGAGTAAGGAAGCATTCTGTGGTTGTATTTAACAATGTTACAGCCATAATACAACCTAGTGCTTAGTGTATGGGTATGGAGTCACGCTTCCTGGTTTCAAATCCTGACTTCACCTGTGAGTTCTGAGAAATAACTACACCTTCCTGTGTGTCAGTTTTCTCAGCTGTAAAATGGGGCTAATAAAAGTATCTATCTCAGAGGGTTGCTGGGAGATTAAATTAGATAAAACATATCAAACACAGTGGCTGAATGTGACAACCAGAACAGAATTAATAAAAATGTTGACACATCGTAAAAAATGTAATCAATGTCTCTGAATGATTTGTGTAGAAATTGTTAAATGGGAAGCTAATTTGCTGTGTAAACTCTCACCAAAAACACATAAAATATTATTAAAAATAAAAAAAGATATTGGAGACAAAAAAAAATCCACAGTGGCTGACATAGTACTTGATTATTAACTATTAATATTTTTTAGCTTATTATACAGACAACTACAATCAACACAGTAGAAGAAAATTAAATTATGTATGTAAAGTGCTTGGTATAGTGCCTGGTCCATGACAAAAGCTCTCTATATGTGGTATCTAATAGCATTATTAATTATCATTATCATTCTCAGTTAAACAGGGGAAATCAAACCACCAAGACCAGAAAAAAAAATTGTGTTGAGCATTAATTGTCTCTGATGCTCTAGGAGTAAAAATTCATTATTTAAACCTTTTTAAATGTACTATGATTATATTAGGTGGCTGGGTGGTGCAAATTGTCAAGCTCTCAACTACTGACTGAAAGGTTGGCAGTTCTAACCCAGCCAGAGGCGCCTCAGAGAACAGGCCTGGCAATCTGCTCCCAAAAGGTCACAGCCTTGAAAACCCTGTAGAACAGTTCTACTCTGCACACCTAGGGTTGCCATGAGCTGGAATCAACTTGACGGCAACTAACAACAGACTATCCCATAGTTTCCTAAGCTGTAATCTTTACGGAAGCAGACTGCCACATCTTTCTCCCACAGAACAGCTGGTGGGTTCCAACTGCTGACCTTGCGGGTGGCAGCCCCGTGCACTTACCCACTGTGTCACCAGCGCTCTGCAAACAACAACATGATTATGTAAGATATTGTGGCTGAGAGAAACTGGGTCAAGAGTCAATGGGAACTCCGTATTATTTTTGCAACTTCTTAGGAGCTTCAAATTATTTCAAAATAAAAAGTTTAAGGAAAATTCCATTTGAGTAAATGAAAGCACTTTCCCATTGGAACAGAGGTTATTGTGAAGGGCAGGAGCAGATTTCCCAAGCAGAAGAATCCAGTAGTCAACTGGGGTCAGGCTGCTGGGGTTCCAGTTTTGGCCTCAGCATCAGCCAGGTCTATCCCCTGTCCAAGTCACTTCTCCATTCTGGGCTTCACTTCTATTTTGTCATCTGTAAAGTGGGGGTGTAATGACAGAGCCCATCTCCTAGGGGAGGTAAGGAAACAAGCCAATGCAGGTGAAGCAGCTAGAAAACTCCTTGCATCATGGACACGCTCAGTGAAATGTTCCCTAGGACTATCGGGCCACAGAAACACCCGGTCTATGACAAACCTCCTCCTTGAGTAACAGTGGAAAGACTAAAGCTGATGAGAGCAGTTACAAATGTGGTTGTCCTGGGGAGTGGGGAGATGCTGGCTGGGAAGGGGAAGGGGGAGTCATGGAGAACGTGAGAAAGTTCTACGTGTCCATCTGGTGGTGATTACACAGGTACACTCTTGAAGCTGTACAGGGTGAATATTTATGCACTTTAAGTTATACCTCAATCTTAAAACTCTAAATATAAACGATAATCTCCTAATTTGGAAGGAACTGGGCTGGGACAATAGAGCATTTGAAAAAAACTAAGAAGTTGGGTCTCTCACACCAGACATCAGAATTAATCAAAGCAGATAAAAAATAACTTTATATATATATACACAGTATATGGATAGTTATGAGTTTGCTAAATGAGGGAGGAATTTCTAAACATGAAATAAAGAAGACCATAATTGAAAATACTGATACTGTTACTAGACTGTAAGCTCCCCGCTCCCCTGACATCCAGGAGTCACTCAGTAAATATCTGTAGTATGAACAAACATCACACCGGGTGCCCAGCCGTATGGAAGGGGTGAGGAGGGCGGGGCAGGACTGTGCTGATCCCTTAGGACCAGGCCTGGCTGCCAACCCTCTGGGCAGCATCCTCACCGGCAGGGATCCTTTGCCCCGGGCACAGGTGCCTCCTGGGGGTGGCCTGCCCCTCTGCAGGAGCGCTGCCACTTGCTCTGAGTAGGCTGAGTCCATGCTGAAGGCTTCCACCCTCCCGGCCTGCTCCTGCGGCCCCTCCGGCTCTGTCGCTGCCAGAGAAACAGAACAGAGAGGCAGTTAGGACCTGCTGCTTCCCCATCTCGCCCAAAACCCATAGCCCACAGCAATTCCCAGGCTTGGGCCCTTGCTCAGGCCTGGACACCTAGAAGCAATTGTCTAAGATTACAGAACTCAGCCTATAACCCCAGGAATCAAATTTTTAGGCTTAGGACTCAGGCCCTTTGCTCCAAGAAGCAATTTCCCAAGCTCAAGCTCAAAGTCCCAAATCACTAAGATTAAGGATCAGGCCCATTGCACCAGGAAGTGATTTCCCAGCTGAGGCCCGTTGCCGAGGAAATGATTTCCCAGCTGAGGCCATTGCCCAGGAAGTGACTGCCCAGGAATTAATCCAGATTCACGTTCCCGGACCTGCTGGTAAAGGCCTACTCAGGCCCAACAAGCCCAGCTTGTTCCTTCAGGGCTCCTTCCTGCTGGCCTAGAGCAGGAGAAGGCAAGGAGCCAGCAGGATGAGGGAAACGCTTCGAGGAGTACCAATTCCCTGACTTCACAAAGCACAGCCCCTTCATGCAGCCAGGAGTGGTTGTGAGGGCCCTGGAGAATGAAGGCCACTTACCTGGAGGAGACTTACACAACCTGGAACTGAGCGGGGTCCATTTCATCCCGGAGTCCCCATTCTCTGAAGACACTTCCTGTGTAAATTACAGATGGTGCCTGATTGGTTATCTGGGAAGTGTGAGAGCCCTGGGAGACAGATCCCATTCACAACCCCATTATCACAGAGGTAGTGGCTGAAGCTCTGGGAGGTTAAGTCACTTGCCCGAGAGCCTGTAACTGCTAAGTGTGGTGTGGGCATTGGGGCCCAGGTCTGGCTTCAAGGCTGATCATTGCAATCACTTCAAATCTATTCCAAGAAAGAAGATGCCCACAAATTGTCAGGTTTCACAACCAGCAGGAAATACAAGTAACAAGAAGAAGTATTATAATTGCACTGGTAATAATTATATAGAAGGTCCCTGGGTGGCACACACAGTTTGAGCTCATCTATTATCCTAAAAGCTGGCAGTTTGAACGCATTCAGTGGTGCTGTGGAAGAAAGTCCTGGCAATCTGCTTCCATAAAAATTACAGTCAAGAAAACCCTACGGCACCCATAAAACAGAATGAGACTAAATGGGCACACCAACCCAGGGGCAAGGACGAGAAGGCAGGAGGGGACAGGAAAGCTGATAATAGGGAACCCAAGGTCGAGAAGGGAGAATGTTGACATGTCGTGGGGTTGGCAACCAATGTCTCAAAACAATATGTGTATTCATTGTTTAATGAGAAACTAACTTGCTCTGTAAATCTTCATCTAAAGCACAATAAAAAAAGAAAACCCTATGGAGCAGTTCTACTCTGTAACACATGGGGTCGCCATGAGTCGGAATCAACTTGATGGCAAGGGGTTTAGTTTTCCTGGTTTAATAACGATATAGAGAGAACCTAAGCTTTCAGACCCACCCAAGGATACACAATGGCATGTACAGGCAGACGAGGACATGCACATAACATGGAGTAGAGTGGCATGCAGGGAAACACACGTGTGCAGGCACAAGCACGCACACGCACCCGCCTGTGTGCACCAGCACAGCCCTGCAGCAGAAACGCTGCATCTCTCAGGCTGTGGGGACATCACAGAGACCCCAGGCAGACAGGGTCTGCCATGACCGCCGTGCCGTGACCCCCCCATGCCACTTACCCCTGAATCGAAGACTCCAAAGACGTCCCTGACATCTCTGATAGGTGCCTTGTGTCGTCTTCGGGCCGAGCGGGCATAGATGTCCAGCCTGCGGCACACAGCGGCCACCTGGGTCTGTGTAAGGGTGGACAGGAGCCCCTGGTGGCCACCATTCACCCCTAGGCCGCTGAGGAGGCCCCACAGTCCTGTGTCCCGCAGCCACTGGGATTCGGCTTCACCCTCTGCCAACAGAGGTGCAATACCCAGATGAACACACACAGCCACACAACACAGCCACACACACACAAGCCAAGGCCACATCCAGACACACCCACACACACAGACACAGGAGCATCTACGTATTCGATCCTGAGACCCCTTAACATCATTAACATCCACCAAATTTCAGTGGGGAGAAGATCCAACAAATAAGGCCCCCGAGAATTTGGAGGGTATTGATGGGTGTTAGCCAGTATCTGGATTTAAACTTGTAACATTGCAATCCCTTGTTAAACACAGAGCAGGCTGAGCAAGACCTCTCTATGTTCTGATTCTAGAATGTGGCCACAAGCTCACCCTCCCTCTTGAATCTGGCAGAGAGCACCACAGGGTCACGTGGGCCCAGCTGTGCAGGGTTGATGAGGGAAGCCAGAGCAATGGCAAGCAGTTGGTGTCCCTCTCTACTCAGGACCTTATTTGTGTTGGAATAGTCCCCTCAGCCATGCTTCAGACGGACACAGCTGTGGCCCTACAGTGCAAGCACTAACCCGGATGGTGGGGCATGTTGAAACCGCAAGTTCATGGCTCCTACCTCCAGGGGTTCTGCTCCAGGAATTCAGGAGTGGGGCCTGGGACTCTGCACTTTCAAAGTCCCCCCCAGATTATTCTAACACGTAACACATGATCTCAGTTCCTCTAGTTGGTTTGAAATTTATGGCCGCATCATGCCGCCTGCAATGGAGCGCGTCTCCTAAAGCCCTCTCTTGCGTGGCCACAGATTTTCACTGCATGTTTTGGAAACACTGCAACAGACTGCCAGGCTCTTAGGAGATCTGGTCTCTCCTATGGTTTGTTTGATCAGCCATGGACTGGCACAGATGAATTGTACGCCAAACTGAAAAGTGTCCCTGTGGACGCCCGATCCATTCCCCCATTCACCGAACACATAAGCATGCAATGCTCGTATGTGCTGGGCACTCTTGTAGGATGGAGCAGTGAAAGGACTGAAAACATTCCTGGCCTCATGGAACTTACATGTTAGTAGGGGACACGGACAAATGTACAAGTACATGCCCTATGTAGCACCAGGCAGTGATAAGTACTGTAACATTAAATACAGCAGGACAAGGGGCTAGAGAGTGACGGGGCAGGGAATACCATTTTACATAGGGAAGTTGGTGATGCTGTCTCTGAGGAGATGACGTTTGAGTCCAGCCCTGATTGGAGAGAACGAGCCATACAGATACCTGGGGAAAAGCATTCCAGGCATGCGGAACGGTAAGGACAAAGCACTTGAGGTAGGAGTGTGCCTTTATGGTCCAGGAACAGCAAGGAGGCCAGAGTAGCAGGGACGGAGTGAGAGGAAGTCAGAGCGGGAGGATATGAGGCAGAGGAGGCATGGCCCAGAGCTTGTCAAGCCCTGCAAGCTGTGATGTGGTGGATTTACGACATGCCCACAACGTCTTTGACTCTTGCTCCATCAAGAGGTGGGGTCTAATCCCTCTCCCTTTAAATATGAGCTGGACTTAGGGATATAAAATGTGGGAGAAGTGATGTTGCCTGACTTCCAAAGCTGAGACACAAATAGTGATGCAGCTTCTGCCTGGTTCTCTCTCTTGGGACTCTGTCTTTTGGAACCCAGCCGCCATGCTATGAGGAAGCCTAGGCCACACGCAGAGGCCAGCCAACAGGCAGATGTTCCAACCAACAGCCCCACGTGAGGCTCAGCCAGCAGTCACATCAACCACGAGACACATGAGATGACTCCAGAACTGGCCACCTTCTGAGTGTAACTGCATGAGATATCCTGAGTGAGAACTGCCTTGCTGAGCCCAGCAAATCCCCAGAACTGTGAGCTATGATAATAATAAAGTATTATTGTTGCTTTACATCACTAATTTTGGGCTAGTTTGTTGTTATGCAGCAACAGATGGTGGGGACACATGGTTGTCTATTACTCTAAAAGTGATGGGGAGACATTTGAGAATTTTGAGCAGGGGACTTAGAATTCTGCTAGAATGTAAGTTCCAGGAGAAAAGAGACTTTGTTTTGTGTTTGTTGCTGTACCCAGTGCCTACAACGGTGCCTGGCAGAAATTAGGAACTCCATAAATATTTGCTGAACAAATTAATTAAAGGAAGGAGGTAATCTAATTTACATTCTAAAAGATCTTTTTGACTTTTTGTAGAGAGCAAGGGAGACCAGTGAAGAGGATACTGCAACAGTCCAGGCAAGAGAAAAAAACTTTTTATGTTCTGGACTCTCTCACATTTCTGCCCCTGGAATAAGGTCCTCCCACCCACCCCACAGGTCCCAGCCAGGGCTCCTCACCCTCAGGAAGTTGGCCGTCGCCCTTGCTGCTGTCCCCCTCTTTCTGCTCATCCCGCTGCTGGATCCGCTTTACTTCCATCCAGAAGCCATCCATGGACAAGCTTTCTGCTGAGGACAGCCTGGAGTGAGGGCAGTTGGCCGGGTGTGGCTGTGGGGGGTTCTTCTGGGGAAGCGGATTCATTCGGCCTGAGGAGGGGCCAGAGCTGTAACAGGTGGGGAGGGAGGAGGGAATCAGGCAAAGTCTGATCAGGATGGGGCCTGTCCTGATGCTTTGCCGTTCCCCAGCGATGAGCCTAGGGGCTCTGGGAGCAAGGAGAGCTTCCCAAGCATGCCTCTCAAGGATGAGAACACACTCCTAGTATTAGCTATTGGGAGAATGGTCTGCTGTGGCCTATGCACCTCTCACCCAAGCTGCCTAATCAAAGGCCTTGGAACTAGACAATTCTCTGATAATGAGGCTGGGAACTGAGACTTTCTCTCTTCCTCTCTGTTTCTACTGGTTCCTTCTCCTTATAACGGAGCCTTCCTCCCTGTTCTGGGTACATGGTAAACTTTCTCTGCTCTGGTCATCCGTCTGTGTCCCTATGGCACCTGTTTGTCCCCATTTCTGTCTGTAGCCAGCAGGGAGGGAATGAGGTCTTTCAGCTCCAACACAGAGGGATGCACGCAGACACCAGCCCTGCATCAGCTGTCGGGAGTGACTTGACGGCACACAACAACAACAATGGCAGAGTAGACATCAATAAGAGGGAATTAAATCCAAGACAGGTGAGGAAATTACAACATAGCACCTAACTGACCTCCCCAAATTTTTACCTGAAGTCTATACTAGCTCCTTCCTGCCCATGCCTCCTTATTTGTGCAGCCGACTTCCACTGCCCTGATTTTTCCTGTTTATGACATGTGAACACCTCTCCTCCTCCCCTCCCCCTGCCAGAGTTGAGTAGACCAAAGTACCAGATCTCAGAGATACTGTCCATCAGATGAGCCAATCAGTGTCTCTCAAGCAGTTCAACCAAGAGACACTGAGATCGAGGGAGTGGTCAAACAGTTGCTGTTGAGTCAGTTCCGACTCATGGCGACCCCATGTGTGTCAGAGTAGAATTATGCTCCATAGGGTTTTCAATGGCTGATTTTTCCGAAGTAGATCACCACCAGACCTTTCTTCAGAGGCACTTCTGGGTGGACTTGAACCTCCCACCTTTTGGTTAACAGCAAGCGTGTAAACTCCCTGCTGTTGCACCAAAACCAAGAAAAGCTAAACCTGTTGCTGTAGAATTGATTCTGACTCATAGCGACCCTAGAGGATAGAGCAGAACTGCCTCATAGGGTTTCCAAGGCTGTGATCTTTACGGAAGCAGACCGCCACATCGTTCTCCTGTGGAGTGGCTGGTGGGTTCGAACCGGCAACCCTGACAGTTAGCAGCTGAGGTCTTAATGATTTGAACCAGGGGCCCAAGTTCATTTTGCACTGGGCCTGTTCTGCCGGTGCCTTACCCACAGACCCTGGCTTATGCCTTTCTCCCAAGTATCCTGCCCACACACTGAGCTCAAATCCTGAGTTATAAACAATCCATCCTGAAACATACTCAAATGTAGTAAAACAAAGACATCTCCAGCCCGCCAATGCCCTAAAGAAGAAGCAGGGCACACAGGCCTCTCTCCAGGCAATGGCTTGGCCATTTTCACCAAGCAGATGCTTAACTGGAGACCAATTCCCAGCTAATTATAAAATTGGCAGTTCTGCTCTATTTTCTCTGTTCGAGAAAACTGCTAGTCAGTGTGCCTCCTGCGAATCTGTTTTGTACCCCATGCTGGTGCACAGCTCGGTTTCTTCAGCTGCTTTTCGATTCCCTTGGAAACTACCAGCATCTGTGTGTTTTCATGACAATTGGAAAGCTGCAGTGACTAAACCAAAACAAAAGTTGTCAACTGTGTCCCCATTTCGTCAGCTAAACAGTGAGAGGGGAGCCATCATTGCTTTGGGTGGTCAGAGAGGGCAAAGGAAAGAACAGAAATGAAATAAAGCACCAGAAGATCTAAACACATAATCGTTCCAAGATCACATTTTGCAGCATGGCAACGAGTCCCTCCTTTCTCAAGAGAACAACGGGCACTAAATTTGTTCAAAGCCTCATAAACACAGCTAATGTTTTTCTTTGTTTTTTTTTTTTTTTTTAACGTTTTATTAACTATAGCATATGCAACAACAACATATCGTAGCAGAAAAGCTCACATAATCTAATTGTGCTGTTGTTGTTAGGCGCTGTAGAGTCGGTTCCGACTCACAGCGACCCTGTGTACAACAGAATGAAACACTGCCCCGTCCTGCACCATCCTCACAATCCTTGCTATGTTTGAACTCATTGTTGCAGCCACAGTGTCAATCCATCTCGTTGAGGGCCCTCCTCTTTTTTGCTGACCCTCTGCTTTACCAAGCATAATGTCCTTCTCCAGGGACTGGGGCCTCCTGATAACATGTCCAAAGTACGTGAGATGAAGTCTCGTCATCCTCGCTTCTAAGGAGCATTCTAGCTGTGCTTCTTCTAAGACAGATTTTTCGTTCTTCTGGCAGTTCATGGTATATTCAGTATTCTTTCCCAACACCATAATTCAAAGGCATCAATTCTTCTTCGGTCTTCCTTATTCATTGTCCAGCTTTCGCATGCATATGAGGCAATTAAAAATGCTGTGGCTTGGCTCAGGCATACCTTAGTCCTCAAAGCGACGTCTTTGCTTTTTAACACTTTAAAGAGGTCTTTTGCAGCTTATTTGCCCAATGCAATATGTTGTTTCATTTCTTAACTGCTGCTTCGATGGGTGTTGATGGTGGATTCAAGTAAAATGAAATCCTTGACAACTTCACTATGTTCTCTGTTTATCATGATGCTGCTTATTGGTCCAGGTGTGAGGAATCCAAGTGTAGAGCATGGTTCATTGTCTCCAGCTGTAATTTTGTTTTTAAACATTTACTGTGCACTCACTCCATGCCCAGCCCCAGACAAGTCAAAGCAAAAGTTTAATCCTCACATCAACCCCGTATGGTGGGTGCTATTGTCCCCAATTTACAGATGAGGAGACAGACACAGTAGGATTAGGTAACCCACCCAGACTTATCCAGTTGGCAAATGGCAGTATCACCGTTTGAACCTGGGCTGTGAACTTCAGTTCCAGTGCTCTTAAGTGTTCTGTTCTCTGGTTTTAAGAGGCCCCTTGGTGTAAATGAGTGGGGGCAGTGGTTGTCCAGTGGTAGAATTCTTGCCTTCCACTGGGGAGACCTGGGTTTGAGTACTTGCCAATGCACTTTACGGCACCACTTGTCTGTCACTGGAAGATTGCATGTTGCTATGATGCTGGACATGTTTCAGTGAACCTTCCAGACTAAGACGGACTAGGAAGAAAGGCCTAGCAATCTACTTCCAAAAATCAGCCAACGAAAATCCTATGGGTCACAACGATTCTGTCTACAACTGATCATGGGGATGGTGCAGGACTGCGCAGTATTTCATTGCAGTGTGCACGGGGTCACCATAAATCAGGGGCTGACCCCACTGCAGCTAATAACAACAAGGTGTGAATAAATTGGTCTGAATGCATTCTCTTCTCCCCCATAAACCCCCCTTTCCATTCCAAGGTGCCTGTCTCACTAGATGGTGGCATGAAACACTCTGAGAGCCACTCGACAACCCTTTCTCCGTACTTCTCCACATGCCATCAACCACTCATTAACTCTACTCTTCAACATCTCTTGTATCCACTCATTTTTCCCCATCCCCAGGGCCCCCATCCTGGTCCAAGTCACCATCTTCTCTCAGCTGGACAACAGCCCCATCACAGTCTTCCTACAGCTCTTCTAGGTCCCCTTATCTGGTTCAGAAATATCTTTCAAGCTCTCAGAGCTGACTGTATTAGTCCCCTGCTTAGAATCCTCAATGGTGTCGCAGTACTCTAAGGGTAAAATCTCAATGCCTTAAGATGGAATTGATCTGACCTGGTCTCATTTCTGGTCTCATTTCTCATCCCTTCTTTCTCCCTCTGGCCAACTCCTGAGGTCTCAGCCTGAAGGTCACTTCCTCAAACAGACTTTCTCTGAGTTCTAAACTGGATTGCATCTCTGCTATTTGCTCATTCAAGGAGCCCTGGTGGCACAGTGGTTAAAGCGTTTGGCTACTAACCAAAAAGTTGAGGGTTTGCACCCACCAGCCAGCTGCTCCTCAGGAGAAAGATGTGGAGGTCTGCTTCTGTAAATATTACAACCTTGGAAACCCTATGGGGCATTTCTACTCTGTCCTATAGGGTCACTATGAGTCATAATTGACTTGACAGCAACAAGTTTAACACCTATTCATTCTATTGGAAATATTTATTTATTGTCTTTCCTATTCACTGCAGTCTCCCCAGTGCCTAGAACACTGTCTGGCACATAGTAGATGTGGTGAATATAAAGTTCTTTGACACTCTTCCCATGGAGGAGTGGGGTCCATGCTCCCCTCCCTTGAATCAGGCTGTAACTGCTTCAACCAATAGATTGCAGCAGAAGTGAAGCTATGTGACTTCTGAGTCAGGTCATAAACGACCATGCAGATTCTCTGGAACCCAGCTGTCACACTGAAACCCTGGCCATGTAAGTGGTCACGTGTAGGTTGCTCCAGTTAACAGTCCCAGCTGAACCAAGACATCAAGTCATTTCAGACATGTGAGTGGAGAAGCTTCCAGATGATTCCATAGCCTAGCTGTGATGTCACGCCAGCCATTCAATCTTCCCAGCTGAGGCCCCAGACATCACAGAGCAGATATGAGCCATCTCCACTGGCCCTGTCTGAATCCCTGACACACAGAATATGTGGGCATAACAAAACAGTAGCTGTTTTACGCCACTAAGCCATCGATAATCAGGACCATAAGTTTGGAAGTGAAGAGCCTTGACTGTAGCGTCAGACTGAATTTGAATCTTAGATTTGTCTGTTGTTTATAGTGAGGTAACTGAAAAGTGCCTTACCTCCCTGAACCAGCCTCCTCACCCTATTATGGAGCTAAGAGAGGCAATCACCGACAGCTGTGTAGTTTAAGGGTTAATTCATTCATTCAGCAAATATTTATTGAATCACTACATGGTGGTGCAAACTGTTAATGTACTCTGCTGCTAACTTAAAGGTTGGAGGTTCGAATCCACCCAGGGGCACCTTGGAAGAAAGTCCTGTAG